ATGACCGGCAACCTGAAAGTTCATAGAGACGGATCAACTGCAGATGGCCGGTCAGATGTTGGGTGCACTGGACGACTTCGAGCCAAAGAAGAAGAACCCGATCTCGAAATTCCTCTATCAGTAGCAGAAAATCGACAAGCAGAAAAAAAAACTGGACCTCTTGATTCTTTCGTTGTCGCCACAAAGAAAGTACAGTTCTCAAACACAATTCTCAATCAAATGGCCTGCATGTGGCTCATTCGCCATGCTCAGCCTTGGAGCCGGGTAGAAGATCCGATCCTTCGTGGTATGGTGTGCTACCTTCGAAAGGAAGCACATCTAAATGGTCGTAGGTGGGCGGCTGACGAGGCCAAGAATATCAATGTTTCTCTCAAAGAATCGGTTTTCTCTGAGCTGAAGGTGAGGTTTCTTTAACTAACTCAGTCATTTAATCCACATTATACATCACTAATTGTAATTTCACTCATTAATAGGCGCTGAAATCGAAGATCAATTTGGTTCATGATGGTTGGACAACCAAAGGTAACCGCCATGCGTTCATTGGCGCGTCGGTCACCTTTGTCGACGACGATTGGAACTACCGGGTTCGTCACCTCACCATGAAGGTTGTTGAATGGCATCACCACGGACCGTGGCTGGCAGAACCAATCGCCAACCTCCTGATCAAACGTGGCCTTTACCAAAAGATAAGCGTTTCTTTTCCTTCTTACTCATCTTTATATCTTATCATCATCACCATATGCTGACACTTTGTTTTATGTGTCTTACTTGCTCTGCCAGACTACAGATTCGGGGTCTAACAATAAGACCATGGCTAAAGAAATGCACCGACAATTTCTTGAAGAAGATAACCCTTGGTACCAGTGGAATCCGCAATCAATGCACATATTTTGCTTCTGCCACAAGTTGGCATTGATTGTCAACGCGGGTTTGGAGGCGCTGGGAGTGAAAGCACCTCCTCCTATCAAGGTGAAGCAAAAAGACCGTGGAGTCTTCCCATCGATTGGCACAATTTCCGAGGAGGATGAGGAAGAAGAACCAATTAGGTAAGCTTTGAAATTGATTTTGTATTGATTGGGATTATGACTGACTAACTTCCTTTATAACCTCTCAATAGCAAACCATCAAATTCTACTGACGCTGAAACTGATGATCCTGAGCACGATCCTCAAGAGCTCGACGATCCACCGGCTGCTGCTGAGATAGTTGCAGAACTGGACGACAAGGGTGAATGGAATTCTGCAGATGCAGAAGAAGAAGATAATTATCCTGAGCTCACAACGGTCAGTAAAGAAGTTTTACCAACACACCGTCAAGAAGCAAATAATGTTGACTACATATTGCGAAAGGTGTGTATTTCTTTTTCTTCCTACTCTTCTTCCTCATTTTCTTTTTGTCTTGTTCTCAAGATCTGATTATTTTAAACAGGTCGACTTCATCACCAGGCGAATTACTCGTTCTGCAGCCTGGCGAAATGAGTTTAAGCGCGTGGCCGAGCAGAAAGGTTTCAAAGGTTCGTTGATTGCGGGGTATGGGATACGTTGGAATATAAAGTATCAAAGTTGGCATAAAGCTTGGTTGGCCAGAGCGGTAAGCACCTTTGTTCTTCTTACTCTCTTGATTTGTGCCCAAGTTGACATTTTGTTTTCATCTGCAGGTAATTGATGAACTCTGTCGAAACGATTTGAATTTGGTACACTCCAAAAATCGACCTGCACGAAAAAATAAAAAACCTCACGGATATTTCCATGAACTCGAGATGACCACATCTGAGTGGGCTCAAGTACGCAAAATCAACAACGAGCTTGAGGTAATTTTTCTTCTATGAATTTCTTCTTTCTTTGTTAACATCAATGATGCTGTGCTATTGCTGACGTTTGATTAATTGTCGATCAACTGGTCAGCCATTCCTCAAGACAACTTTGCTTATGGAAGGGGACGGACCGACAGGATGCATGGTGATTCCACAATACGTGGAACTTCGTGACTCTCTCGACAAGAAGATTGAGCCTTTAAGCACCACCGATGCCATTTACCCGATGCTTGCAAAAATGAAGGAGAAGACTGTTGAGTATTTGAACGAGGCCCTTCAATGCGAAACCCTCATTCTCGCGACGTTGCTCCATCCCTTCTTCCGACTGTGGTTCTTCTCCAAGTGGTTTGGAGATACATCTGCAGTAACGATGAATGCTGAAGCCATTCTACGACGTGTTCATCGGAAGTACGAACTCGATCATCCTGCAAACGACAAATCCAACCCCATCCCTTGTACCGAGGGCAGTCAAACTCCTGCAACATCTTCACCGAGGCCACTCATCTTTTGCGAAGACTCTGATAATGAAGCTGACATTGAGGAACCCGAAGATATCCAAATCAAGAACTATTTAAACCGACTGGATAAGATGAGAGCTGACATGTATGATATTCAAGATCCAGCCGCAAGTCTCAAATGGTGGAACGTGAGCTCAATTGCATTGTTTTTGTAATATCCTTGTTATAGATACATACTGACTTTCATTGCATCCCAACCGATACTTAGAAGCATGCAAAAAGTTATCGCATCCTAGCCCTTATGGCCAAAGACTATCTGGCCTCAACAGGGTCCTCGTGCGCTCCTGAGCGCATCTTTTCCTGCGCGTCAGATGTCTGTTCAAGTAGCCGAGGTGCTCTAATTGCTCGGACAATCGAACGGCTGGTGTCCAGCAGGTTATGGTTGAGGGAAGGTGTTCTTTTGGGGGAGGATTATGAGGAGCTCACCCAGATTCTGAAGGACTTGGGAATAGTATTATAACGAATTGTTTTTTATTTTCCTTCCAATTAATTTGATTTCTCTCGAGTTACTTTTCTTATATTAAAAAATACTTTCCTCACTTTTCAAACAACTATGCTACAAATCTATCTATCTTATGCCTTATTTTCCTTTACTTATGCTATGCTGTTCCTCTATCACACATTCCAATTGTTTATATTTTGTTTATTTTGTCAATAATTCAATTCTACGCTTGGGTTGCGGATCAGCGTTGCTGTTACGCTTGCGTTGCGTTCCGAGCCGATGTTGCTCCGGAGCGTTGCTGATTTCACATGTTGCGTTGCTGGTCGGTGCAACGCTTCAACATGGCGGGTTTTGGTCGTTTTTGCAACCGCAACGCTGCCAAGAGCACCACCGCAACATATGTACTTTCGGATGCAACGCAACGCAAAAGACGGATGCAGCGCGTTGGTGCGTTGCTTACCCGGTGTTGCTCCAAGCGATGTGATGCTCAATGGCTGGGGTCTCCAAGTCGCGACTTGGCGGCCCCGTCCGATGATGGTCTTCGGGTTTTGACCAAATTATGAATTCAAACCAGTTACCAGACCCTACCTAGAATTCATTTAAAGCACTTTAAATTATTGGATTTCAGACTTAAAGTCTTGACTATGCACAGATGATGATATCTTTGCATAGTGGTTTTGGAATTGGCTCAAACTTCTGCTACCCAGAGCGGAGCCTGCGCACTGCGCTCCGAGGGTAGAAAAGTCCAGAGAGGAGCATATCTCTCCGCTCCGAGCTGGGGCTCAGGTGGCTTATATATATTTTTCTAGACTTTTTGAGTCTTTTTGTAGCAATGAGTGCCCCTTATATATAGCGTTGTGATGGGGACTCTCATCCATAGAGGTGTTTTGTAACCCTCAACAAATTGTTTTATGTCATCTTTGGTGAGGTGTTGCACAGGGAGCTCTCAAGTTGGTCAATGAGTCACATTTTCAATCTCTATCAAGTTATGTTTTACTGTAGAAGTCTTTGGAAGGGGCTCAGAAGGATATTTGGTTGTGGCTTATCTGAAAACATTCTCATACCTTCCTGACATTATGACACCTTCATGTGTGGACGTGCAACTAAACTCTATTTCAGTTTCTTTTTGGAAGACTGTTTGGCTGCTCCTCTAGGCCAAACATTGAGATTGGATTGAGGTTGAATTGAGATGGAATTGAGATGGAACTGACATTGTTTTGAGGTTGAATTGAGATTGGATTGAGCTGGACGTACTCACTGGCCTGCCAGTGAGTAGTAAAATGACACTGTGAAGGTAGATGTTACTCTACCTTGCGTTACCAAGAGTTCCTTACGATTTTCATTTCTTATGTTGATGTTATAGCAGGCGCCCAGCCCTCGTCTGAAGGTCAACAAATTCAAGTCAACCAATGTGCGGGAGCGGGTGTTCATCATCATATAATGTTTCCCGGAAACATCTGTTTCCATTGTTTTGGAATCGGTTTCGCCAAAGGTACAATGTGGGCGGTGGGAAAAGGTTCCCTACTTAAAAAAAACGAAAGGGAGTAGTTACCGACAGCAATGGTATGTGCTACCACTGCTTTGGTAAAGGTTTAGGCCAAGGACAATATTGGGCGGTCACTCGTGAGCATCTTCTTGGTTTTCCATTTAGCTTCTTGATTAACCCGTTTGCATGATGTTGTTAGGATCTATGCAAGAACGTATGTGGTCAAATAGCAATCGAAAACGCAAATCCGAGTTATTGCAGTCGATGTGATTTGTCTACAATGCGGCCACTTCTATATATGACATCATGAAACAACATTCTCCAAGATTTCACTGCGCTATGCGCAAAACTCCAGCTATTGGATCCGTTAAATGTAGAGATAAATGGAAAATACTCGGTGCAGTTGTACAATATTATATTGAAGCTCTCAAAAGTGATCGAGAGTGATTGATCTACATAATTTTTGATCGCTATACCAAAGTTTCCTATTTGGTTTTTTTTATATATCTACCACAAGTTGGTTAAGATTTGTTTCATGCGAGTTTTTACGCGGTCAGATCACACACACCCACCCCGCCTTGTATGATTATCAGTGCGAAAACTTACTTGCAGCTATGTTTCAATGATTTTGTCAGATTGTATATATATACGTCAATGTATAGGTCATTCTGTGTTGTTATCTGTTCTGCGAATAAATTATATTTATCTTCCTCGTCATTATTTATAATTCCATTCTCTACAATGCCATCACACGACATCTTACAACTGTCAGGTGAAGCTTTCCTATCAGAGAGTGCTTCTGTGGTTACCACCCCAGACCTCACGTCAGGTGGCTCTTTGATGGAGATTCCCGTCAGGGGAACATCGTCTACTGGGGCTGAATCTGTGCATGGTTTGGTTGAACCTGCAGAAGCGGATGCAGAAGGGGATGGAACTCTTACCAAATCTAAACAAGCCGGCACGACTTCAGCTCTATTGAAAACAAGCAATCGAAGCGTCTACAAGGTCAGGGCGCGGCCAGCTGCGAGACACAGTCCGTCAGAAGGTGCGTGAATTTTTGATATATTATCTTTTTGTGGTTTGTTTTAGGTTAAATTTTTTTCTTTGCCTTTGCAGTTGTGGTTGGTGCTGGGACTGTTATACAAGTCTCCATGCCTCAAAACATCTTGACCTTCCGACTAGATTTGCCTTCCAAACACGCCGCTTTCCTTTACCAACTCGTGGGTTTTTACGATCATGGTTCCGTCCCAACTTATGTGCCAGAAGGCGGAATGGGTTTTACAGAGGCCGTTGTGGTTTAGGAACTGGGTCGCACTGTTGATTTATCGAACAGCAGGGATTGCAATGAGTGGTGTGTCCGTGAAATGCAAGGCAACGGTGTGGCTTTGCCTTTTGAAGGCATAGTGCGGTTTCATGGCCGATGGTCCTCCTCTGCTACGTCTGGTAGAGATCATGCTGTCAAGCTGGTTTCAGCTCACTCGTATGTTGCCAGGATGTTACAATTATTTAAAGCGCGGTTACGCCAATTGTGGCACGTCAAGAGAGTTCCGGAGTTCCATCATTGGTTTTTACGCTGCTCAGCTTTGCATGTCAGTTACATTTTATTTTTATGTTTATCAGATGTGCAAGTTACTTACAATCGGCTGCATTATTTAAATATAATATAGGTGCCACAGGTGTATTTAATGCAGACCATTGGGTCACTTGATGATGACGTTCCTCGATGGGTTATGTGCGAAACAGCCCGTGACCCCAGCACTCAGCGATACGTGTATCCGTCGTGTTTCAGAGACACTATGCCGGCTTCAGCTCCTTGGAAGCATTACATATATGCCTTCATACATTATGTTTACCAAAAGAGTGGTGGTGATACTCCTATTGGTCAAATTGACTGTGACGAATCGGGCAGTATTTCGAGCGTCATGTGCTTCAATAAATTGTAAGCTTCCTATTTCCTTTCCTTTCAATAATCGCGCAAAGCAGCAGTTTAAGTTTATATCTGACTTTTCCAATTGTTCAATCGCAGAGCGTACTATTTGGATAACAGCGACACCACAGATCAGCCTTTTTTTGACTTCAAAGTTGGTCATACTGCCTGTCACCAGATATGCAAAGAAATCGGCCTTGTACCTTTGACTCAATAGATTGAGGAGTTCTTGATATTGTAATTACTTATGAGCTTTAATGATCACTTATGTTTATCTTATACATTTTTCCTTGTATTCACGTTGTGGTGATCAATTTATGGGATCAATTAAAAAATTCATAATTACCAGTTTACCAGTTTATTAGCAGGATTCAGCAGGAAAGAAAATTTGAAATGAGGGTTTTTAGATCAATTGAAGCTCTTGTAGGCTTATGGATTGGTCATTAGGTTAACATTACATCATTTTATTTCACATTATTCATTAAGATCATTATAGTTTACTTACAAACTCATTACAAAAAGAAAGAAAGAAAAACATAAGAAAAATTCGAAATTATAGGTATATAGGTTGGAAAATGGTTTTTAGGTTAGTAAAAATAAAGTTATGGGTATTATGAGGTTAGAATATGAAAGAACAACATTATATTATACTATGACAATTTTAATCTTGAAGGTTGATAAGGAGAAACAAAAGTTATTAGGGAAAAGGCACTTTTTCGAAGTTGGTAAACAAGAGGTACACGTGTAGTTTGGTTATGTAATAGTGGTAGTAATGGAATTTAAGGTTGCCAAGAGGATTTTCCGGGATTTTTAAGGTTATAGAGGATGATTTCATATTACATGAGCAAGAAAAAGAGAGTAGCAGCTGTGAAAAGTGGAGAAAATGGGTGAATTTCGTGGAAAATGGAGGTTTTCAGCTAATTACATATGTCAAATGACGTCAGAATAGGTTGGTAGATGGCTCATTCAACGCAGAAGAGTGGATTACATAATGTACAAACTTTAAATCAATAGTAGCGGAGGTTTATGAAAAAAGTTATGAGGCAAATAAAGAATTGGTGTGAATCTTGAATTTACAGTCACAAGTCAACATGTAATGCTCAAAACCTTAACTTCACAACTCAATATCTTACTCATCACTCATCAGAAGTAGGTCATATAGGTGTCAGAAATGATCAGTAACACGTGGGCTACAAGATTCACGTGGTGGGCGTGGCGTGAAAAGCGCGCCCACCAAGCCTGGATTTGGGGGTGGCGCTCCCTAGTTATATAACTAGGCTAATGGGCCACGTGAAGCAAGATAGCTTCCTTCAAACCACTTCACTTTTCCCTAATTAACGCCTTCGGAAGACTTTCAAAGTTAATTGATTCCATCCTGAATTCAAACACTGTAAAGTTTGCACCCACACGTCATCAAGATATGCCCAAAGTTAAAAAGAAAGATACATCTGACTGGATTCCACCAACTTCGGCATTTGGGAAGCGATGGACTGGGTTCTACATGTCAGCTGATCAAAACAGCTCCAAACACCGCCGCCTCGCAAAATGTCAGCACTGCCAGGAGACGATGGACGGAAAACCAAATAAATTGGCTGATCATATGATCCACAAGTGTCGATCAATCTCCATCTCACAAAAGTCCGAATACAAACAGTTGATGATTGCCGAGGACAATGCAGCAAATGGTATTTCCGCTCTACCACCATCTGTCTCCGCAACTGCTACAAAGGATATCTCTGTTGTTCCAGATGATAAGATTGTTCACAACTTTGGTATAAAGCAATTTTTCATGCCTTATTCACCTGATAAGATAGCAAGACTCGATGAAGAAATTCTCAAAGCCCTCATCACAAGCAAAGTAGCCTTCAGATTTCTTCACAATAAGTATTTCATAAATTTTCAAAACATGTTAGCAGTCTGTCCGTTTAAACCGCCAACCCGATATTGAATGATGGAAAAAACACTCCCCCTTTTACATGCTAAACATGAAATGGCTGTCAAGGAGAAGTTGAAAACTCAATCCAACTTAACAATCTCATTAGATGGCTGGACCGACATATCCAAGAATAGTATATATGCAGTTCTGGTTTTACAAGGCACTGAAGTCAAACACTTCATCGATGTACTCGACCTTAATCAACTTCGTCATACAGCGGAAAATACATTCAATGCATTGAAGGACACTCTTAAAGCTCAAGGCCTTCAATGGGATCAGATCAGTGCTGTAGTCTGTGATTCCCCCTCGGTGATGGTCAAGTTTCGGGTAGGTTGTTTAATCTCATCTCTTCCTGGTATCCTGAAAATCTGATGATGTTCATCTTCTTTTTAATTCTACCAGAAAATGGTTTCTGAAGAATTTCCGGGTATTTTCACATTACCTTGCTGTTTACACGTCCTCAACTTGATTACCAAAGATATCCTGGCTCATCCGATGATGAAAGATGTAGTATCGAGCAATAAAGAACTCGTCAATTTCTTCACTAAAGCACATTACTCGATGACCTTCTTGGAGAATCGGCGCAAACAAGAAGGTGTCCCGCATGGACTTAAAACTTTCACCGAGACCCGATGGTTTTCTTTTGCTAAAGTTTGCTTGTGTGTTCAATCTCATGAGCTCGGCCTTAGGAAATGTATCAAGACCTCTGAAAATCGATCGATCGACAGTCCTTCCATCAAGAAAATCATCCGCGACCTCGTCTTCAATTGATATCACTTCGCTTCAAATGATATCTTGGTCCAAACACTACAACCAGTGGTTAACGCCATAGCGGCCCTAGAGCATGCCAAGACTACAGTTGGTGATGTGTGGAAAGAAGTTATCAATATGTATATAAAGCTTAAGGAAATTCAAGTTGAAACTATATACTCACCTTTCATATCTCATTGCATCACTACCATTAACAAACGCATCAAAGTTTTTGAAGAACCAGCCTATGTCATTGGCTTCTTTCTTACACCGAGCTTTCAAAAGATCGCTGCATCTCGCAAGTTTAATCTCGATTACATGAATCGCCAAATCGTCAAGAACGCTAAGAAATGGAAATACAGCAGAAACGAGTGCGCAAATCTAATCGACCAGGTCTTGCGCTACTACAACTCAGAGGGCCCGTTTCGGATGGCTCCCAAATGTGAGTTTATTCTTCAATATCTACAATTGAAATGATGCCATTTCGATACTGACATCAATCTCACTGTAGCATTCTCAGCGATGGAGTGTTGGCTGAGACTACCCAATACTCCAAACACTCACGATCTCAAGACTTTTTCCGTGAAGCTGTTCGAGATTGTAGCTCATGCTGCTGGTGTCGAAAGTCTTTTTTCTGGAATGTCCGCTCAGAAAACAAAGTCTCGCCCACGCATGAATGTCACCACTCTCAAAATGATGTCTCAGATCGAAATGAATCTTCGATCTGAGAACCCAAAACGTTCAACCGATTCCTCATCCAAAGACCTCACTACTGACAAATCCGATGATGATCTCAACAACCAAGATGTACAATTTGAAAATGGATCGCGCTATTTGGCGCCCGCTTTCAAATTACCCGAAGCCCGGTTTTTTCGGTACATCAACCGTGCCTCCAGGCCAAATTTGGCCGCAGCCGCAGCTGTATCACAAAGCGGGCTGTCATATCAAGAAAGCGGGCTCTAATACCCTTTTACCGGGCTGTCACTCATGAAACCGGGCTGTACCTTATCAAACCGGGCAGTATAGGTAGTGTTCTCTCTACCTATATTCGTTCGACACATTCTCTCTCAGCTGCTTCGACACTTCCTTCCTAAGTACAACTTCCAATTCCCAATTGGACTCACCCAAAGAAGCAACGCCTCCCAACCCAATCCGTCCGAATCCAAAGATGGTAAGTCGTTCACCTTCACCTATCTTATCTTGTCTTAGTAGTTTCTACCCTCGGTGTTTGGAAACCGCAACCCAGATATGTTGGAATCAACTAATATACCCCTCTGGATCAAGGAGTATAAAGATCAGTTGGCTCGTTGGAGGGATCAAAGATCAGGGTCAAAGGAGGTTATTGGGTCAAAGGAGGTTATTCACGTAGAATGATTATCTTGTGTCTTTAGTAGTTTGTCTTTAGTACTTTTTTTTCTGTTGTTTGTGAGACACGTTTTAGTTTAGTTTTGTTTTGTATCTCTTTCTACCACGCTCATTACTCATGTCACGCTCGTTAAGTTATATTTGGAATGGTCACACTCGTTTACTTCCATTTCAAAAGTAACATTTGATGAGAAACAAGCCAAAAGATGAGAAGTCGAAAAAAGAAGTAAGTCAAAAGGGTGGAAATTAGAATGGGAAATAAGGGAGAAACACTGGCAAGTGGAAGTGAAATCAAATCTGAAAACCGGGCGTCTCTGATTCGAATTCACAAACCGGGCTGCGTAGATGTCACCGCCCGGTTATACAGTTCAAAACCGGACGGTGAGTGTTTGAAAGCGGGCGCCAAATAGCGCGATCCTTTGAAAATATAGATCAACTTCAAGAATTTGAAGATGGAGTTCATTGTGACAATGATGAAGAACCCGATGATTTTCAATTAGATGAAATAGAATACATGGATACACTCTTTGACATCAGTCTATATAAAAATGAAACAGAGTTGGATAAAGAAGGCGATGCAATTATTATTGATGTATCTACTCCTGAAGATGATGATTGGAATGAGGAAGATCTTTTTTTGTGATTACTATTGTATCTACAGTATAAGGTTTTCATACAAAATCAGAAGAAAGCTAAAAATATGTAAGGTATCGTCTTTTTTGAAAAAAAAAACATTCTGGGCGCACGCCCCCACGCCCCCACCAAAGGCGCGCCTTTGGGAAAGCGAAAAGGCGCGCCCTGGCGCGCCCCAAATTGAAAACCCACGCCCCCCACGTGATACAAGATGCACTTTAGTAATCAAAAATTGGAGCACATCTGAAAAAATCCGTAATCTCAAAAATTGGTTTTCAGCTAGTTTACAAGGAAAAAATCACCTGTAATCATCATAAGAAGTGCTGTACATCATATTATTGCGTCATTGATCACTTTTTGCTGTGAAAATTACATCATTTATTAGTAACAAAATCATTACATTGCGTCATCATAGGGTTTTTAGGGAATTTTGGGCAGATTTGATTGGTTTTGAGGTTGTTGACCATTGTAAAAGTTGTAGTACATTGATATATATACTTTGAGAGGGTTTTGGGACTGTTGTTCCCCTTTTTTCTTTATCATTTACGCCATTATTATTTTGTTTATCATTATAAACTTATTTTAATAGTACCTGATCACATAAATACGCCCTTTATTACAATTATAAAGAGAAATTTACTTTAGTTTTATAGTCATAAAGACTTATTGGGAATAATATCAATCAGATATTGCTTATTTCTTTAGTTATCAATTGGGAATAACACTATAGCAGTGTTGATAGTAATACAAAGTGTGCTTTTGAAGTTAAAATACGTGTGAAGATATATTTCTCTGGTGCCTTATCTGTACTCAATACAACAGAGTCTCTCCTGATTGTGTTGTTTTAGAAGAGCAGTCTCAGACAACTTCTACTAGTCCTTATATTAGTAGATTATCCTCTTCCAGCTCTGTATAACCCTTGTTGGGTTATAAGTTCTACAACGTTTCTTCTTATTCATCACCATTTGCAACACGGATGGCAAATGTCTTGGTTGCTTTGTTCAATTTTTTTTGTATATGTTGATCGGGACTGCAAGAAGTAACACGTTTGAATTTCAAATTAAATAAAGGTGCAAGTAGGCGCACTACACAATTTAGTTGTAAGAAGAACAAGATTTGGGTACAAACTTTGATATCAAACTGAAAGGGGGAAGGGACTTTGTTGAGCAAGATGAGAAGGTATGTTACAGCAGAAGTTAGTTTTTTGTACAAGCTTTGAGAGCAGTGATTCATTCCGAACGCGTATCATCTCCTCTAAGAAGAATCTGTAGTTTATCTCATGCATGCCACGGCATATTGAGAGAAACCCACCATACCATGCATTAGTAATCTCCGCTGCCGAACCATTGAATCACCAGGATCCATCTGCCTTCTTGAGAACTGGCCACCGCTTGGGGTCGTTGTATTTGCGGCACTGTGCGTCTTTTTCGGAGTGTGTTCGCATGTGAAAAGGGTCCACTGGTCGGATTGTGCCCTTGAGTCTTTCTGTCGCTTCAATATCCTTCCTAAGCAATTTGTCGAAGGTGCACGAGTTATCAAAGAATTGAACAGGTGGTAAAACCGGTAATTTCCTTTCTAGTATTTCCTGTTTAGAGACAGACACAGAGACACATTAGCACTTCCCAGGTTAATTAATACGTGATGCAGTACTAACTCTGACCAAAATGACAGACTCAGCGCGATACATTGTCTCCCGAGCCAATGTTATACAGTCAACTCTGAAATAACCCATACCACTTATAACACATACTCTTGCCTAACCCATACTTTTTTTGGTCCATGATTTTCACTTTTTAGCCCAAAAGCCCATTGTGATAACACATACTCTATGAAAACCCATACCTTTTGGGGTCCATAAAAAGGTATGGGTTATTTCAGAGACAACTGTACCACAGGTTGCGACAAACAACATGTCGTTGTGTGTCTTCGCATTGGAACATACCGGCTTCTTCCCAGCGGATCAAGCAGTCTCCTCCCCATCCCGTCCAGCTTTGTGGGCGCAATCGGACTCATCACCCACAACTAGGGCATCCTCGTTGAAAGTGTCAGTGTCGGCGTTCAGTGCTGCAGTCGGATCTTCGGGAAGTTTGGCACCAGTTCTTTGGTTGAAAGCCAGTGCGGCCAGAGAGCAACGGGTCTTCTCGGATCGTATTATTAGTGCCTCTTGGTGTTTGGGTAAGTCACATGCTTTGGTGTTTTGAATAGCGTCTTGGGTGCACGGCTGTGCGTGACACAGTCTGCCTAGCAAGGGGGTGTGGATAGGGCAATAGCAATCTTTCGGTGTTTCAAGCAGAACAGTGCACGGTTGCGGGTTGGTATCCAAAGGGTTGATCGATATGAGTTGTTCCTTTGTAGCAATACAACGTGGATGTCCAATGGTGATGCCGTCCATAGTGATAGCACAAATGGCTGTTGTTATCATGGATAAATTATGTTAGTTCAATGTTCGTACATTGCATTATGAAATCAAAATGGAGGACATACCTAGCCCTCCCCCGGTGACATTCAGGTCTTCTAGTATTTCAGTACATTCGGAACACATATGATCGATGTAAGGACTTCCTTCGAGTTCCGTCCACATGAGTACAGTCATTTTTGGTTTGCGGAAGCGGTGGCAAGAACCACCAGAGTTGGAGACACTCATCATGCGTTTGCGGAGGTTGAATTGGTGTAGGAGTTGATGCACATCCAGCGCTGTAGTGCAACAGTGGTCGGATACACCACAAAGACACTTATTTGCGTCAGGGCATCGGGCATGTCCCAAATTGGGGACACGACGAGACATCCACTAACGGGGTGCTGGCTCGACGTCTGGATGCAAATATATCCATGCCGCATCCTGAAGATGCTCTGGCGTCGTCCCCGCCAGGATGAGATTCGAGCACACTGTGCTCGGATCACCTACGGATGTCCAATCAATGGAACACCCTTACAGAAACCCCTAGACAACCGCTAGCGATCCAATGTCTGTTGGCCATATGATGGAGGCAGGACAGCCACCAGCAGTCTCAAGACTGGGTGCCCAATTAGCACCACAGCAAAGGACCTTGATGAGGAGGACAGTTAAATTTTAAAACTGATTTGGTCAAATGACATCATCATCACATGGTGACTTTGACACTTTGACCTGTACCAAAGCAATCTTCATCCTCCTTCATCTCTCACTTCCTTCTCGTTTCCGTCTTCCACTTTGATCTCGTTCGATCTACATCCCCTTCCCCCTTTCTTTTTCTTCAACTACATTCACACCTAATCCAATCTCCAAAGTCTTAATCTGATTTTCAATCGCATCGGAACATCAAACTTTCCTTCACTCAATTCATTTTTCATAACAATTTCTGAATTCTGTCTAGTAAGACTTTCAACTGATTGGCAATAAACCAACCTTGCGGAAACTTTTTTGAAACTTTTAATGTAGATGAATATGTTTCTTTCAATGCTTCAATGGGCAAATGATGGATATGAACTCCAGAATGATTGATCGTAAGTCTCTTTCTATCTACAGATGTTTCTTACTCGGGTGTCGTTGTTAATGGAATTGGTCTGCTTTGAATTCCAAACAAGGTATGAAAGTTTGTTATCGATCAATTTACAGAACACGATGAATCCATCAAATCTTACAATTCAAGTCAATGATCGAGAAAAAGACAATTATTCTTATCAGCTTCAGTGATAGATATCATTCTTTTTATCATTTCATCGTTTTATCACTTCTTTGTCTTTATCATCTTTTTGTTTGTATCATTTCATTAAAGTTGGCCATTCAGATTACAAATCTTTTTTATAACAATGCTTAATAGGAAATTTAAATGCACTGTTGTTGATCAAAACAAATCTGAAATAAACGAACTGAAACCCAACCCGTAGCTTTCTTCAGGACAACCTACATAAGTCCAGGGAGATATCGAGAAGTCATTGACCCTCACGACAAACCTCGAGGGATGTCAGATGGATGTCCGTTTGCGGGTCCTGGGCAGCCCGATGGGCTCTGCTCAGGTGTCTGAACGTCGGAATCCGACGGACGTTTCTCGGTGTGCTGTGGGGGGACGTCCGTCCCCCACCAAGCAAACTCGGACATCCGTTGGACATCCAAGTGTCCTTGTGGTGTAGTATTGGTGTGAAAGTCTCCCCAGGGAAATGATTTGAAGCCTCTTTGCACAACTTGTGGGAGCTGTTGTAGATAGTTACCAAATTGTAAATGGAAACGCTGGTATCAATGCGACAAATGTTAATAATCTTATATTTGTTCGCCGCTGTTGATTATATTTGTGTGGAGACGTACTGGGCTAGTGATTGGCTGTAATTGAAATACTCCAGCAGTTGTATGGACATGAAATAATGCATGTTAACTTGGACACAGTCAGGATCTTTTCTCGCTGTGTCCAAGTAGTACGTGCGTGGTCCATTCTTTGTTGAGAAGTATGAGGCCCTATAACTGGTCTTGCAATCTACATGGTGAGCATTTGGTTAGTTTTACCGTTGGAGTAGGGAGATAAGGTATGATGTGAGCTTACGTAGACAATATGTCGTATGGCGTCGAATCGAATGGACACCATCTAGGTCGTAAAGATATCCGCATATGGCTGGCCTTTTTTCCAGCTTTCGCTTCCCCATTCCAGTCTCCCTGCATGAGGCATTGGGACATTTGTCTTGGTAGGGTGGCCAGAAGATTTGTTCGGGAATTTGAAGAGCTCCGGCCTCGCGTATGAGTCCTTTATCTCTGACAAGTGCGGCAGGTTCCACATACGATGAGGATAACGTTGAGTACAGGACGTGCCATAGGACCTCCCACGTGCCAGGTACTGCAGGTGCAGGGAGAGCGGAATTGAGATATTTGTACGGCGCGTTGTACTTGTCGATTTGAATAGAGTGTTGATTGATTTTTACAAAATGACTGGCCACTGTGACGAAGCGGAACAGGGCGTCGGCGTCCACAGTGGCTAGTACTGATGGGAATTCCTTTAACTGTTGGGTGATATTGGATATGTGCATTAGTCCTTGTGGTAGGTGGTTTGAGTGTACGGATGAGTCGTGAAACTGAATAGTCTATTGGTTGGAGCGTGGTGGTATGCAGTTCTTACTTGGTGGACGAGTACGTGAGATGTGGTTGTAGCTGCTTTAGGAAGAGTGTCGGAAAGTGTAATCATGGTGGACGTATATGGACGTATACAGTATCTAATCTACATTTCAATTAACGAATTGAGCCTTGGAACTAAAGTTCCTTATGTGTCTAAGGAACGTTCCAAAACCTCCTCAAGTCCGACCATGTTCTGGGAAGAGAAGGGCCAATGGAAATTTTCCATTGGACCCTGACTATATGCGCCTAATCACAGCTATCCCTCTGTATAGGGATAGTCAAGTGTCTAACCCTAACGATACCCATATGCTTATCCGTGGAAATCGATGGTACCGTCGTGCCTTTGGGTACCATCTACCATTAATGTGCAAGTCCCTCGTGCCTCGGCTTTGGGTTACCGTGAGCTTTTGCACGATCAGACTTGGGTTAAGTGAGAACTGACACTAGTCTTCTACAAGGTTAGAACTTTGTTTTTCTCTTTATATGCTATTGTCACAATTCACGTTTGTTTCAATAGATCACAACTGACACTACAGTGAGTTTCCTTTATAAGCATGGTGATGGTTGCACCAAATCCTATGCTAATAAAGAATATGCTTCTTATCGAACAGGAGCTCATAAGAGCATAAAAGCTACACAGAAATATGCTATGCTTAAGTATTATGTTTAGCGCTAGGAAGGGCTTTTTTTGGGCCAATAGATGGAAAAATTCATTTCAAAACTCATTGTTTTCATTTTTGTATCATATGTAAAGACATGGAGAATTTAGACATGTTTTGTGGCCAGATTGCAGTGATTGAGCGAATATAAAATCGCTTTAAATGGGACTTGGGGGAAAGAGACATGAATCGATAGTTTTTTTTGATGAAACGGTTGTAGATGTTCAAAAGGAACCACTTTGAGAGCCAGTAGTTTTCAAAATGAGATCGAGCAAAAACAGTCAGAAGGAGCCAGATGGGATGGAGGTGAGAGGAAGAGACATGTAACTTACAGTTCGACATTTGAGTCATCATCATCACTTTCAGCTGATGATGAGGATTCAGAGGAGGAAAAGAAAAGTTCGGATGAGGCAGTAATCGATTCAGATAAGTTGGTCGGTGGTGGTGATTTTGATAACAATTGGGTGTCCGGTACACCTGGTTGAACCGGATTTGTTACATGAGTGTGGACTTGAGAAGTGTTCTTGATGGAGAAGAAGTTTGTGATTTTTGGCTGAGTTAGGTTTTGGTTCTGTCTGAGGGTAAGATCATCAAGAAGCTTGTTCAAAGCTCTTATGTGATCGGCCTCCGATTGGTTGATTTCAGGATTGAAGTACTGGGCTGGACGAGAAAATAAAAAGTATTTGAGCTCATCAACAGCGGATTTAGCCTGTGAGATAGTCAATGGTTGACGAGGTTCATCAGCATCTTCGGCTGCCTCCTCTTCAATCGGCAAGATTTTATGGCCAGCAGCAGTGGTGCCAAGGATTTCAAGGTCAGTTGGCATTGGAACCTCAGCTTCGGTAGGTCGAGCCTCAATTTCGGGATTCAGAAGGGCTTCAATACTGATTCGGTTTGATCGACTGCTTTCTTCAAGTCTGGGGCAAGAGTCGAGGTAATTCAGTTGGTCTTCAAGTGCTATAACTGCTTGGCCAAGGCCTGTATCAGGGGCAAATGGTGGGACTTCATTTTCATCGGAGTCCATGTTTTTGTCTTGATAAGCAGCAATAACACCAGTGTGCTTGTTACAATTTGTAATAGTATCTTGTGTGATTACGTTCCAAGCTTCGCGGGCCATGAACATGGCCTCGAGTTGATTAATTGCAAACACATCTTTTGCCGGCATGTTGGGGTTGTCCTCGTATCTTCGGATGGCTTCAGCAACAAGTTTGCGCCGGTAGATAGCCTTGAAGGCCCAAATGATACCAGCATCACAGGGCTGAAGATGACTGGTCATGTTAGGTGGAAAGAAGACACACTTGATGTGACTTAGAACTACAGTCTCAGCTGCTAGTGTATGTCCGCTAAAGTTGTCGAGGAGGAGAAGAATTTTGCGTCCCTCATCGGCCATCCGATTATTGAAGCGCAGCAACCAGTCACCAAAGATTAATGCGGTCATCCAAGCCTTTGAGTTGAAATGATAATCAAAGAACCAGTACGAAGCGTCTTGTCAACCGAAGCAACGAGGTCGCCGGGCATAACCAATTACGAGTGGTTCGAGTTTATCTGATCCATCTGCATTGCAGCAAAACAGATATGAAAGACGTTTCTTTGAGCCTTTCACTCCGGCAGTTGAGACTGTTGCTAGTGTTCGATTAGGTGGCATGCTGAGGGATGTCACAAGGGATGTATAAACATAAGGAAAGGATAAGGAGGTAATTGAACAGAAGAATACATACCACCACAGAAGGCCCGTCTCGTCAGCGTTGTAAATATCTGAGGGTTCAAACCCCTTTGTAAGCTCGATCATCTTCTTTCTTGCAGTCTGAACATCAGTCGGATCAGCAGCCCCTGCTTCACCATGCATCTGAAAGTCAA